GGGCATGATGCTTCAGCCTCATTCCCCCTCTCTCGTGGTTTGCTTCAGCCTCATTCCCCCTCTCTCGTGGTTTGCTTCAGCCTCATTCCCCCTCTCTCGTGGTTTGCTTCAGCCTCATTCCCCCTCTCTCGTGGTTTATTCCCCATATCTGTAGAAACTGGAAGAAGCTGATGACGACACATACCTGCAGTCTGAATGGTCAGACAGGCAAGCACTGAAGAGGCAGTTTCAGGGACTTAACAACATAAAGTGGGGCCCCAGATGAACTCCAGGACATTCTCTCCCCCCGATGTCGTAGGGTTAGCTTTCAGCAAACGGACGGCTGACATGCTGACCTTCCTCTTGGACTGTTAGACAATTAATCCCCAGTGTTTCCTCAACTGTGCTACGCATTGGCTCATCCAGGCCTTCAGGTCCATCTATGAAGTTGGTTTGTAACACCCCCTGCTGGATTCCCGTGGCAGGTACAAATAAATCTAATGTAATGTGAACCACACATGTCTTGTCAAGGCGCTAAGTCAGTAAGGCGGGTGCCCAAGGGGTGACGTCAGCACCAAACTGGGTGCCTGGGGGCCAGTTTCCATAGTACTGCAGCAAGGGGGCGGGGGTCAGCTGGTTTCAGGACCCAATACCCACTTGGCTTACCATGGGCGGGCCGAAGGTGTGGCACTTTTCCTCCCTTTGTCCCGCTGCACGGCCAGCCCGGGGCCACAATGAAATCTCTAAACGTCTAAACTGTGCCTTAACGTCCTCCCAAGGCCAAAGAGAGGAAGTTGCAGAATTCAACAGGGAAAGCTTTTCAGAAGACGAGGGGGCTGAAACTTCCCGACAAAGCTTCCCTCAAGGCAGGGGAAGAACCAAAGGTGTGGTTAAAGTGCTTCTCGTAAACCAAGCGGAACAGCCTGCTCACGGCCGGGCTAAACTCATTCAACGTCTCACAATAATTTTAAGCTAGCACACATGGCTTTTAAATAAATACTGTCAGCTTCATTTCTTTTTTAAAATTCATAATTGTGCACAGTGATGATAGTTATAGCTAATCCAACCGACATGGGCAGCTTAAAGCTGTATATTTGCATAATGCTTGGCACCAGCAATGAAGGACCAGATTCTTTACCACACTCTTAGAATGATCACAAGATTACCAAAACAGAAGCTACATGGTGAAATGTAGTCCATTTGGTTAATAGATTGGTGTGCATTAATGTAGTGTAAGGCTGTCTGGTCTGTGGTCAGCAGTATTGCAAGGTGATACAGGCCAGATCTGTGAGGTCCCATTGAGATAGGCATTCATCCAGATCTCCTGGATAATTTGCTCTCGCCGCTCGATCCTCTCCGCCAGCTCAGCGGCCTCCAGCGTCGTACTGGTCACCTCCCAGCAGGCGTCGTCCTTCGTCTCGCTGACCAAGCTGCTCAGTTCTGAGCTTTCCTCATCGGAATTATGCCTGCTGTGTTGTCTTGCCATTGACTGGACCCCTCTGAGAGGTCTGACATTGCAGGATATCTTCATGGACAGGGCTAGGAGCACGCAGAGGAGTCCCACGCATACACTGGACACAAAGAGCAGGGCTGCCAGTTCAGGGTGTTCTAAAGGGAAGCAGCCACATGTCAAGCCTTAGAAGGTGCTGCTGTGTTATCAAGTGGCTCATGGGAGTTTGTCACACACAAAAATGTTCTGAGGGCAGATGGAAAAATTATCAATTCAAAGAGATGACTAAACCGATTGTAGAGGTGGGTCCAATCAATTAGGTTGGACCCACCTCCTCTCAATCTGATTGGTTATCTCTCTGAACCAATCACATTTCCTTCTGCCCTTTTTTTTGTGCAAGTAAAACTCCCACAAGCTGTCAAAGGAATTATACAATCCATGTTGTCACTACTTTTATATCATACCACTAGGGTGTGCGCTAGTCAAGGAACTGTGACCATCTGACATGGTTGGCCAATCTTATCCAAAAAGGACAGTTGCATATGCAGGTTTTCGCTGGAACACCATAATTAGATTACTAATTAGAGCACTGATTGGCTGACCTAAAGATCATCCCAAAAACCTGCATACACGTTGGCCCTTTATGAATAAGATTGGCCACCGCTGCCATAGGGATATAAGAAAGGCTTCAGAACTGTAGGCTATGTTGGTCCTTCTGAATGAAAGAAATGGTCTATAGTGTATATTACCTTTAATAAAACCAAACACCATCAGAGAGTTGCTGAGAATAATCCCCTTGTTTTCTGGATGTTTGGAGCCTTTGGGATACAAAACCACTACTTTGGAGAAAAGTTTTTTTTTTTTTTTATTACAATTAAAAACAGACATTTCCTGCTGCTACGAAGGATTCAATTATCTCAAAATGGGCAGACCAGCCCAAAGCATGTTTGTCATTGTCACAATCAAAAGAATAATTACCTTTCTCAGTGGTCTGTTTAGGAGTCAGGATAGTGGTAAATATGCTGGGATCTGCCTCCTTCATCAAGCTCAGAGGCACTGTGCCAGGAACAAAGCCCACATTACACAATCCACTCTCTTACTCCTTTGCAACTCAAATGACAGAAAAATCAACCCTGAAAAACATCTAACAACTGATAAATCTTCAGCTTCAAGTTGGATAAAATCAAAGAATGTGGTTGTTGCTTCAGAACTTCTATCAAAACTATGGTATGAGATTTGTGCTGGTCCTAGAAGCTGTTCCAACAATATGATAATATCACTCACTGAAAATGAAAGGGGATTCAAAAGCAGCGGATGTACTACATTTCTTGGAATTTGGAAGATTTTTTGTAAAACTCACTGGTAGCAAATTGTGTTTTTATTCCAGATAATCTGATATTATTAAACAGCAATATGATTTATAATATGATTTGCAAAGATATGAAGGAGATTAACTTGGTAATCAATGCAAAATGCAGTAGTCTGGATTAGTCAATGGACCAGAGTACCATGCTGGGTTACTTGTCAGAAAGCAAATCGTTTCATACCACATGCATAGAGGACGGTGAGTTGCTTCCGCATTCCTGGGGGACAGGGGTCTTTGAAGTTGTGGTCATCGACCGTGATGACACACCTCTGCTTCCCATAACATTCCCTGGACACTATGTCCACAGCCCCGTGGTAGGAACACTCTGTGAGGAAACACAAACAGCAACAGCTGGCTTCTTGCTGACATGCTGAGTGCTAAAGAAAAATTGAAGAAGGGTGACTTTCAAGACCCGATTTGGGAAGAGGAACGGAAGCGATGGCTCAATCTCTGGAGTTACAGTCAACAACTAACCAAAAAGAGGTGGTTCTCCTTCCTCAGAGGCACACGTGTCAGCATCACCCAGCTGCCTGCCATACGCTGCCCAGTAGATATTCAGCAGCCGTGGACTTTTGCAATGCAGAGTCAACTTCTCAGCTTGGCATCCAGTCTTCCTCTTGTGTTCAGCTAAAATAGGGGAATCGCTGCTTATGCAAAGAGTGCAAGAAGCCATTTAGGAAGGGTGTCCTCAGGAAAAAGGGCCTCACTCACTGGGTTTGCATTTGTATGACACTTGGAGGTTCTTGGGGGTCCCAGGACAGGGGTCCCTCCCAAAGACATGGGGGTTGACAGGAAGCTGGCAGTCCCGGTGGCCCTGGCACTCTGAAAGCACCTTCTGAAAATAGGATATGGAACAGGATGTTCTTCATGAGCTCATTTGCTAAGAATGCACTGGCACTCCACAGATAAAGGCAAAAACATGACAGACAAGTGATCGCGCGCAGTACAAACCCTCCAATCCGAATAACACGCAATAATTAGAATGATCACGCGCGATGGAATCCCCCCCTATCTTTATAGCGCTCTGTTAGAATTCAGATATTCTGCTTGCTGTAATTAAAAAACACCGGGTGTGTGGAGCACCTGTAAGGCAGTAACGGCGGTGCAGGTTCGGTGCCCCTCTTTGTCCTGTGCAGCCCATGGGCTGTCGGCACAGCGCAGCGCCCCACCGGCCCCATAAAAGGCGGACTGGACAGAGACCGATGAGTGTCGCGGGCAGAACAGGCGAAGCTGGTCTCCATCGCAGGCGCGGGCCGACTGGCTCTTGATGATCCTAAGTAGGTAATCTTAAACACACAATAATCGCGAGTAAAATGGGCTGTGGGATAAAAAAGCTTCAATTACATCTCACTTTACTCTGCGAGTAGCTGACCGGGCAATTACACGGGCTAATGGACCTAAAACTGCGCAGAGAAACAATCTTATCCGCCAAATAATCTCTGCCGTAAACGGCGATTATCGCGTCCCAAAACCAGGGAATTAAACATTAACGACTTAAATATCAGCAGCGAGGATAAACCAACTTGAAAAGTTCGCAAGCGCGTCCATCTCTTTGGTCCACAGGAGAAGAATGTGGTAGAAAACGTTAAGGAGTGACATCCTCTGCCTCCGGGAGCCCAAGCCAGTCATGGTTTGCATGCCGAGTCCATGAGATCATGATCAGATGTTCGGATTTTCCCTCAAAACGCCAAAACGGGCAGCAAACCCCTGGAAAGGAAAGCAGCATTGGAATGGCATACAAGCACGCCACCTACACCTGCCGAGGCGGCGAGCTGCCCGGCGTTCCTCCTCCCTTAGTGCTCGACTGCCATTCAAAGTTTACAAATACTAATTATGGAAAATGAGTCAAATTATTATAATAAATAGAGAAACAAACTAAGTCCCGTTCGCACCACGCACTAGCGCCGCGAAGAGTCCGGCGGCTTGGACTCGGCAACGTGGAGCCGAAATAAAACATACGCAACAGGTCCGAAGCGCCGGAACCGCGGGCGGCTCTCCGGACGGAAGGACGCGGACAGTCGCCGAATGCGGAGAAAAGTCCACAGGGTATGAGGTGCCGCCGCGGGCGACTGGCGATCGGCGTAAATCAAAGGGCGGCGAGCTTTTAGAGATCGTCGGGCGCCGCTGGCACAGGGGGCGTGGCGGCGTCCTATCGAGCCCGGAGACGCAATCTGAGCTTTGCTAAGCCGTTTATTTCCTAATAAAACGAAACAGTTGGATCTATTTAAATTGCGACTTATATGAGCAATTTAATTTATCAAATATACGGATAGAAGTTTGACTCGTGATCAATATAATCGATGAATATATAATTATATTAATTATTGTTGTTCATTTTATAGATTACGGGAAAAATAATAAATATTATTAATATAAGCCTAATTGATACATCGTAAAATTGCTTATAAATGTATCACATAACGCTTACGGGTTTTATGAACATAAGTTGCAGTAACCTATATATCCTTTTCGTGCTGCTATCACTGAGTTTAGCACTTGCCTTATATAAAAAAAAATGTATGCTATCTTAAATGATAAAAGTAAATATTTAAACATGCAAATAAATGAATACACATTTTTTTGTTTTCAGTCACAACAGGAACGATAACGTTCTGGTGGACGTGGAGATAACATGATGCATGGTGTGGTGAAACCGGCCTACCCACATTTGTGGATTATGTTCCCTATTGCTCACACCGTCTGCTCTACGAAGCGTGGGGAACTCCGTTCTTTGGGGCCGCAGGGTTAGGCTACTGGATCTTACTGTTCTTCCTTACTTGAAGACTTTATTAAAGTTATTTTGGGGATAGGAAATCACCGTCTGCGTTCCAGGTGTAAACTCGAAAAGGTAACTCTAAACCGTATAAGGCAACTTAAGAGGTGGAGTTACCCATGCCTGCTTGAAATAGCCGACAAAAAGCATTATTTATCTACCAGTAATAACCATAGTAAACTAATTAATTATTCAGGCAGCCATGATAGATGATTTTGAGTTCGGAAATCCGAGCTGTTGAACAATCATGTTAGTACGGCTAACGTGTAAAGTCTAATGTTAAATGTATGTTTAGGAGCATCACCGAGACAAATTCCCTGCATGTGTGAACTGACTTGACTAATAAAGTTTTTTTCTTAATTCTGATTCTGAGCTGTGCAATACAGTTTATGATGGAACTTTGCGCAATGCTCCCCCCTGGTGGCAAGGCCCTGCACGCGGTAAATGTTTAGAGTACGTATGATGTCACTTTACCTTAAGGAAAGAACGCAGATGATGCTAGGGGATTCTTAAAAATATGCTCTGGCATTTTTAAATGGTTAAGTATTCACTTTGATTATGTTGATTCTAGGGCCCCGTATTGCCGTGACCATGCGAATGACAAACGGGTATAGAGGATGGATGGATGGATGGATGAATAGATGGATGAGTGTGTATATTTTACATTCTTGAAAGAAAAATATCTGTTTTACTCACTTCATTTATGGAAGTTGGTGCGGTGAAAGAGGAAAAGGCAACAGATCCAGGTAAGTCACAAAAACCGAGACGTCTTTTATTTCTGCCCCAACTCACCTACTGTCTCGTTAAAGGGGCATGCCGGCCTGTCGCATTCTGCCTGAACAGTAGTCGTTCCCTACTCATTAAACATATTGGTGTGAATAAGGTGAGACACAAGTGTGTAATGTAACCATATGTGAATGTTCAGAGTACTGAAGCAGTCACAGTCCAATGGGATCCCATGCAGGGGTCAAAAGCAAGGCAGGTTCTGACAGACCTTTTGATTAAAATTCAGCCACGAACATAGCGTTTAAAATATAGCCCACATACATTTTATTCAGTCAAAACATTTTGCCACGGACATGTTTGTCTGTGTTCGGACAGGTTGACGATTGCTGTACATATGCGAAGAATCTTACACAGTTTTTGAATAATGTTCTGTGATGTCTGTAGTTTTATGAGGCAAAATACTATGTGATTTAGGGTATTTTTTACTGTAACGTACTTCGTAAGCCAGTTTTGAAGAAGCATTTTGATATAAAAGTAGCAAGCAAGTTTTTGGAATTTATGCATGACATCAGGGGAGGCGGACTCTGGACCAAGGGCAACAGGGGCACCAAGGGCAATGAGGGCAACAAAGGGCACCAAGGGCAATAAGGCCCCCCCAGTGACTGCAAGTCTTTCATGTATGCAAAACAGTAATAAGTTCTGACAGCCATTTTGAACAATAAGACACTGATTATGGCACTGATGTCCAGCTGCTCCACCTAGCAGTCCATTCGTGTGTTGTGGGGATTTCCCCCACAGTCCAAAAACAAGGTGAACTGGAGTTCCCAAGTTGTCCAAAGCGGTGAATGACACCTTTGCAAATTCATACTCTGCCAGCTATATATAAAACTTTAATTGAAGTCGAAAAAGAGGACAAAATGACTGACGATGGACAATCCCTTGAACACTAGATTAACTGGGCTGAGCAGGAGTTTTACATTACATGCAAAAACACTGCATTGCATGTATTGATTCTGATCTGTCATGTGGTATATTGTGTAACACATTTATTTTTCGGAATTTACGCTGTGTTCACTTGCTCTTCATTGTGTGCATTTCAACAGCTGTCTGTTGTCTTCTATCTAATATGCTTAGTTTTGCTAGCTAGTTAAAAATGTCATCTAGCATTTTCGACAAGGTACTTAACTGGCGTTTGGGAGGCAACACACAGACACAAACCACTACAACCTACAAATAATTCAATTAAGTTCAGTTTCAAGGTAATATTCCAAAAAGTAAATTTAGTTCATTTCATACCGGGTTTGTACAGGTTTGCTCCTGTACAGGCTGATCCCAGGTCCCATGATTTTTGAAACAGGCCTATATGTAATGATTGTCCAATGAGGTTTCCACAGCCATTTTTGACATTAACATATGTCCATGCAATAAGTGGGTGTCCATGACATCACACAGCCAGAGTGTCATTTGTATTGGTGTATCTGTTTGTTATTTTAAATTACAGCTATCTGAGTGGTCAAGGAGGATTGTTTAACCTTGACCAGGTGGTCGTCAGGGCCATAATGTCCAAAAGTTTCTGATGAACAGATACACATGTAGTTGGGGTATACTGCTTAGGGAAGTATCTAACCCACCTTTTAATTTTACAACTTTGTGGAAAAAAAGACAAATAAAGCGCCAATCACCTTGGATAGAATGAAGTTATCCTTGTTTCCCTTCACATAACAGTAAGAGAAGCTGATGTACCGTGGTCAGCGGGATCGCACAAAACGTTAGCTCCAGTGCAGCACCTTCCCTTGCGGTAAAATCTCTGGCTACTTACATAACAGCACGCGTTCTACACTACGCTCCAGGGTGTCTTGTGGTAGGCCGTCTATACAGTATGTTTAAAGCTCCTTATTATGTGACTGAGATTCCCCACTCTGTCCTACATCTGACAAGGAAGAAAGCATTTGAGTCAGTTTTTCCAGTCACGAACGTTTACAATGAACCATGAATGTCTACAAATGGGTCTTAGAAATATTGCTCAAAATACATTTATTTTATTTATTCATTTAAATGTTAAGTGCATTGATAAAAACAAATGATAGATATAACAGGCTAATTTTATTTAGATCATGTAATACAAAAAAAAAACAAGATGAATTCTACAAATCAGCTCTACAACCCTTTTCAGTGACCTCTGAGATGCCCTTTGTCAAAATAAACGTCATTCAATGTTTACATGCAGTTGATGGCTCATATTATCATCACACTAAACATTCAATGAAATTGTGCTTAAGAGCTTAGTATCAGTCCTTGAGTGTCTCTGTGCTGGATACGAAGTGCAGGTGGAATCGTGTTAAGAGGCAGGGTAAGCAGGGTAAGATGCAGGGTAAGAGCCAGGGTAAGATGCAGAGACATTTTGAGGGCCAAGTGCCCTGGGCAAAATTTCCATGACCATCTCTAATCAGACATCGGGGGGGTGGGGGTTATGCAGCAAAATTAGCAGCATTAGGGAGAGTGTCCATATGAAAACTAAGGCTTACTTTCATACTATTACAAGTCATTTACGATATCCCACAAAATGTTCAAGCCTTTTAGGTTGCTATTTGTGTTGAAGTTGGCATCTTTTTAGGTTTGTATTCATCATTAAAATATTATTCAGTAACATATTACATTAACTGCACTTTCATAATGCCTATGTAATGTATTCATAGAACATTCAGTGCACCTTCGTAATGCATTCATAGAACATTCAAAAGCAACATATAAGTAACATCCTAAAATACTGTAACAGCTTTATTTTACATAAATAACAAACTATATGATCATAAGAAACATTATAACCACAAAATGTCTGTTATTAATAATAAAATGACATAATAATTAATGCTTTATTGATGTCGATGGGGAAATTCTCTGATAACAGGCACAGAGACCCACTAAGCCACATGCTCTCCCCTAATGTATATTAAGGTTAATAAGAGTGCCGCAACTAGATATATATATATAACATGTCACGTGTACTCATTTTGGTTCAAGCAAGGTGTAACATTATGACGGAGAATGTGGAAATGTTTTTTTTTATTTGTTTGAAATAAATAAAGATTGATTGGTTAATTCCAACACCTCCTGCAATATTACTCATTAGAACTGAACTTTATTTTGCTTATATTACGAAAATTCTCTCTCAAAATTTAATTCATTTATAAAAATTACAAGACTAGTCAGAATTCCATCGACAGGATGAGACAGGAAGATGGACTTTAACCACCGTTCATTTAGCTAGTCTGGAACAGAGGTTTTCAACCTGGAGTCCGCGACCCCTATGCAGAGATTCCTGATCATTCTATTTATTGATCAATTATAGTCATCCTTTGCGGAATTCTGCGTATGGTCGTTCGCAGTTAAGCGCGTTATATTCTTCGGTTTCTAGATTGACTTGTGTTTTATACAAAAATCACTCAAACTTGCGTTTTATCCCATTTGTTAGGAAGTTACTTCCTCGGGCGAGCGCTCGATTTCCTTCCTTGCGGCGCGGCTTTTATGAACAGGAACCCCTGTAATTTTCGCAAGAAAATTATTCAGAACAGATTCGATGTCGAAAACAATTTTTTCTTTACAAGAGGACAGTATTTTAAAATAACCTTCATTTCATAGAAATAACGCGTATCTCATAGAATAATGTGCATCTTAATTACAGTCATCTATGACTTATATTGAATTAAATATTAATACGTAATATTATATAGTTATTATAACTTTCTTGGTCAGTTATTTTGACAATAAAATAAGCTTACATCTGCTTTAAATGACATGAAAAAGACTGAAACGAAATGCGTATGTAAAAAAACACATAAACTGTCCACTTACATACAGTCGCTTGGCTCCCCGAACGGGACAAATACATCAGAACAAGGAAGAGAAAAACCACAAAGGCAGCCATACCGGTCCAAAATATTATTACGATAGAGTCTGGAAAAAGACACATACGCCTTCGTAATACGTTTTGGCAATGTTATATAAAGCTAAAACAACGTCTACTTAAAACATAAAATATGAATGTAGAAGAATACTTACATTTATTAAATTTCAGGTTTTTTTCATCGACTATAATCGGATCAAGGTAATCGTAGTAATATTCATATTTCCAGTCATAATCAGAAGAGTCCGTTGAATTTGTCATCCTGACAGTTGTCGAGTGTGTGTCTATGTGTGTGGATTAGATTTATATTACACTTTGGGGATCAAACGTCCTCCGCAATGTGATAAAAAAAATGTTATTTTGACATTGTGTGGACCATTTTTCTGAGAACGCGATCAAAAAACTAAAAATGACAAAAGTCTCGTATTTAGTTTGGTTACTTATGGTTAAGGTTAGGGCTGGGTGGGGGTTAAAGTCGTCATGTTGGGATTAGAGTTTTCCCCATAGAAATTAATGGAGAGTCCCCACAAAGATATAATTACAAACTTCTGTGTGTGTGTGTATGTGCGTGTGAGTCACGTTGTGCGTGAGTGACGTAGCCTAAATTGAGAGCGTAGAGGAAAAGTTGTAAGATTGATTGGCGGCTATCCTGGTGATGGAGGGATACTGTTAAACATTACTCACAAGACGGTTTTATCAAAAGCGGTTTAAATAAATAGACACCAAAACCATTTGTATTGTTGGATTTAAGCATTTTTGTTTACAAAATTCACTCAAATGTACAATAACATACAACAACAAAGTTTTATGGGCTTAGCAGGTAGTATATATATTTAGCAAGTAATTTAATCGTTACCCTGCATCACCTGCATCACCTGACGATACAGACAGCGCAGTTAAAAAGGTCACTTTAAGTTTACGTCTGGTATGCGGAAAACCCTGAAACTTAAAGCGCAACATCTCATATTAACATGCAAACTAACTGCATAATATTCTTTAGTTCATTTTGCACCGTTGTTATATCTTAAATAAAAGCACTATTACTGTTTTAGCAATAATATTAGCCACTAATATTTGCATTCGCTTTACCCCACCTACCTATATCCTTTTACCTTCTCGAGACCCTGGTTTTTGCGCATGCGTAGTGCTCACGATTCCCAGCGCCCGCTGGAGCGCGTTGTTTTGGTGACGTATTTCCGTTCTGATAAAAGCGCGCTTTAGTTTGAATTCTCCGTGAGACCCATGGCTGGAGAAGGAAGATACGGTTTGAGAAACACAACGTACACTGCCGAAAGCATGACAGACGAAGAGCCGACCATGACAGAGTTTGAGCCGGGCGATAAAGGAATGAAAGACGATGGCAGCGACCCTCCCGTGGTGTTTCAGTGTGCTCGTTGTAGACTCCCTATTGGTGACTCGTTGTCTTGGGCCGGAAGTGAAGATGAGCAAAACCAAATACTGCTGAAACGTGAGTGCCTTTCCTAAACCGGCAACTTATAACGACAAGCTGTATGTAAGTTAAACTGTTTAGCAATAATGACCTTTCAATCCTTGCGTGACAAGTCAGTGTGAGATCTGTGGCTCGCGGCCAAATATTGGCCTAATGATAAAATAATTGAGGGAAAAAACTAATTGCTATGTCCTTGGGAAGAGTGCCTCAGATGTACACATGGTTTCTAAATTAGAGATTTTCGACTATGTTTTGACATGTACTTGTAGTCATGAAGGATCACAAGAGTGGTCCTGCTAGCAGACGCGTGTGTCATTCAACTAAGTGGTGGATTTTATTAATAATAGCCGTATTCCGTTTTCACGCCAAATGTTTCATATTTCAAGCACGTATGTAGATGCCATATATTTTAATTAGTTATATATGTGTACAGACACACACACACCAAACTCTTTATTTAAGAATATTTAAGTTTTCAACTCGATTGCAGTTCTATAATTTTTCCAATTATGGAATATTAAACCCGATTGACTGAGTGCGTTTAATCGGCTTAATTTATCTAGTTTTTATAATGCTTTTCTTATTAGACACTTTGGTTTCCAGGTACAACAGACAACGTTGTCATTAGCAGTGAGCCGTACGTCTCGCGAACACAGGTGGAATTAGGCAGGTGGGTGAATATTTCCGGTGTTATCTTTGTCAGCATTCTGATTGCTGTTATCATCTGATCATTTTTCCCTTCCGTCACTTGCAGCCTTGTGGTAAACATTTCATGTCGGGGCTGCTCTGCTGGGCTTGGCAGAGTTTACACATCCACTCCCAAGAGCCTTGACTACAAGAGATCTCTGTTCTGCCTTGATGTGGGAACTGTTGATTGGTAATTTGGCTTCCAGTTGTTTATATTATATAATATTTAGTTGCTCACCCCATGTGACTGTGATGTAATATGGAATGTATGAGCTTTGGATCTCCTTTGAATTCAGGCTGTTGAATTTTTCCAGTTTATTCGTTGTATATTGTGAGTCCTCTACAATTATGAAACTTGTATGGTTAAAGTTAAGGTATCTCTTTTATATAGATAAGCGCAGAGAGCTGACTTTGATACTGCTCCTTAATTCCCCTGCAGCTATATTTTAGGATCCTCCAACCAGACAATGCTGTTGGACCCTGAGGAATCCCCTGTAACTCTGGAGTATAGAGAGGCTGTGGACTTTCAGATTACGCAGGTAAAGTGTTTGGGTGCAATGATATTTCGATTCATATCAATGTGAGGGTAACTGTACCAGGGCTTGTGCTGTGTAATGGTTTATTAATGCTGTTTCTTAATATTTGATGTAAAATGCAAATAACTTCCTATACACGTATAGTGTTTTGTTAATTGCTGGTTTTTCAGTTACAGTCGGTGTCACTTTGGTTTTCATCAGGTTACTGTAATCTATTGTTTTTAGGTAAAAGACACCCATTATGTATCATTGGCTACAGCAAATACATTTGAATTTATAATGCAGCACTCATTCCATTTTAAAGCACAAACCTAACCTAAAAAAAATAAACCTAAACCTAAAAAAAGAGGACATGCTGAAAAAATTGATCAGGACTCATTTAGTCTTATTTCACAAGCAATTGCTTTAACAATCGGCAGATGGCGCCAGTGTGAAGGCAGTGTCAGCCTTTTCCCCACGGTCCGTTATCGAACGGAATTCATAGAACAATAGGATGTGAATGTTGAGGAATTTATTATGGGTCTCGTCAATCTTTTGTAAAAAATAAACGAACCTTTATGTGTAAAAAGGAAAAGTGTATTTTGACTTTGTCCTTTTAAATTCATAATATAATTCTTTGGAGTTCTACAACACTGTTCTTATCATGACAGTTGACTAATGTAAGTCAGCTATGCACAACAAAATTGGATGAACACAAAAAACTATAATACGACAGTTAAAAAAAAAAAAAAAATTCCATAAAAGTCACGCGATTGTTATTTTTATAAGAGCCTGTCTTAGGGCAAGTACACAGACTGTGATCACATACGCGATTTCAGCTTCTTTTTTTCTTGTCCTATTGGCATGTGTTTTGACTCTTTGAAGCAGAATCAGAAAGCACAACGTTAATTTTTAATACCAACTGGCTTTCTCTTCCTTGTGGTATTTTCCATATTCAGTTAGCAACAGGGTACGTAACGTCTCCTACTTTGTCCCTGCAGATCAAAGCTTTGACACTGTCGGTAGGACAAAGGCTTATGGAGATCGAAGCTCAGCTTCAAGACAAGAAGTAATCAGACCAGAATGGATAGCGCTGGTCATACTGTGGACATAAACATGTGTGGTGAACTATAGTCGAAAGACAAGCCAGCATTAAAAAAATAAATAAATGTTAAAATCTGAGGTTAAAAAAAATGCATTTGCTGTTTTATTTTTACTTCAGATTTTAGCTAAATCTTTTTGTAAAGAAATAAACCTTGTTAAGGAAAAGTCAGATTAGATAGAATATATGTATCTGTATTGTTCTTTGTATGATCAAGTACAAAGGATTATGAGCAAAATAAGTGTTTTTCTTAAGTGTTTTTCAATAAAATCCAAACTGTATGGAGGGATGGCATGTTTTGTTTACAGATCATCGAGCTTTACAAATCTTAGCTACACTTTCAGAATACAAATGGACAGCCTGTTGTAAACACCTGGACATAATTGGCTCATCCCCAACCTTAAGACAGAAGTGGGTGAGGTGAGTAGACGACAGCATCTTAAATATCGAAGGCAAATAGCAGGCCAACCAGGAAGCTGTATCTAAGGGCGCGCGAGGGGGAAGGGGGGAGCGCGTGCTTCCGCGTGTCTGTTACCACAGCGTCACGCCTCTCGGGCAGCCACTCAGACGGCGCGTCATCCCGCGTTAAAATGCATGTGCTTCAGCTTCCGCATGGGTTAATCCCCAAGCCTCGTGTGTGTTTTCTCCCTCCCAACAAAAAAGCAAAACAAACCGCGTGTTTCTTGTTGTCAGCTGCTTTTCGACTGATCCATCGTTGGCCAATCGGAGAAACCCCGTCTTACATCATGCGTGCAGAAAGTGGAGTCTAAGTTCATAAACCCACAAAAACGTGGGTGACCCAGTTCGCGTTGCATTTTAATATGCGATTTAAATTCGTTAACCGGGTTTCTAATGGAATGACTTCACCCATTTGTCTACTACTACCCTTACCATTATGTTATCCATCACCTTTTTTCAATAGTTTCACCCTGATGCAGGCGCGAACGACATAATGCTTAAATGAACATAGTCTGAATAAGTGAAATATAGTTTAAAACGGATTGTCCCATGCTACATTATAATACACACTCAAAATCAAACATAACCAGTCACCACGGGACAGTCATGCATATTCAATGCACGTTCAAAATATATTTACGCGTGTACACACGAATATTCGAAATTAAATATATTTTGATTCCAGATGTTTTCAAAATGAATCGAATACATTTTTTGGTCTGTTAGCAAATGCATGGCATTAGCCTACATCCTGGTTCAATTCCCAAAAGACTACGGTGAAAGCATCCGTCAGGGGAATACGGCCCAGCAAAGGGTTCGGCGTTAATGATTCGCTAACAATGCGATCCGTTTTCAAAGGTCCAAAGGATTTTTTTTTTAATCCGCTAAGCGTCTGGCCAAACCTCCTGGATACAGCGATGTGATAGGGCGCCTCAATATGCTACGTTTTGTTGCCTGGCGCCAAGGATACCTGATTGTTTCTCTGCAGCCCTTATATCTTAGTGCTCTTATTTTTTTTTTTTTTTAGTTTATAATGGGTATATTAAGAACGACATAAGCCAATCTATAGCCCTGTTTTTTCCGTCATGGTCTGATTGTATGATGGTCTTCTGCAGGTTTAATTCGGGGTATTTCACACATGGGGAAATTATTGATTGAAAATTACTGGTGTTGCGATAAATGAAAGACACCAAACGCATTTAGAAACAGCATTTTATTATCACAACTCCATCATAAGAATTTGACTTAACACCATTAAATGTACAATTCATCGCAACTTTCGTCAAACGTAACGAATAAATATCTTTATAGGATTTGAACACGATGGGGCGACTGTACTGCAAAGCATGACTGCGTTAGGGAGACACACAGGCCGTGTAACTGACTGCCTCTGATTGCACTTTTTATCTTTCAAATCAAGTAAACCTGTGCAAATGCATTGATAGCTCGCCCCTAAGCGCCGGCATGCAGCCACGTTTAACCGCAGTTGTATATCCCGCATGTAATTCAGTTGTATATCCTGCATGTAATTCAGTAGGTTACTGGCGCGTTTGAATATTTGTGCCAGTTTTCCTTATTTGATGCGGGATAACTGTGGGGATCTGGAAACAAAGAGCTTGAGTTTAATGTACTTAATAGGTGCTTGTGCCCTGAGGTTTTATCGGCTTAGCCATGCAGATTTACTGAAGTCGACAGTATCCGTGTTTTTTTTTTAATTCCACACGCCCCTTTTGTCTGTTCCCTGTGCGGCGGGGCGGCGTGTCTGGGTTAGGCGGGGAGGGGGAGGAGGGACAGGTGACGGTCAGCTGTCACCAAGTCTCATGGAGTCCACAGGTGTCTCAATGAAATATATTAGGTGTGCTGACAACTGCTCTTTAACGAAGAGGGATACGTTTCCCCCATTCAGATTTATATTATATTTTGTTGGTAGACTGCTTTGAATTATTACCCTTTACACCGTGCATTTTGGTTATTTTTCAGCCTCGGGTTAAACACTTTTTTTCTTTGTAGTCAAGTGAACATATTTCTTTTCTCTTATTGGGGTATGTTGGTTAATGATACGCATAACTAAATATTTCTCATTTTAAGCAACTTCATGGGTGAATCAGAAATTTTGGGTTTCATGAAAGAAAATCATATTTGGTCCCCAACTGAGACCAGTAAAATTCTTTCAGTTATTTAGGGACCCTTGGAATCGTGTAACATCCCCACTTTACGACGCTACTGGTCAGAAATGTCTGTGTATACAGCAGTCTTTTATTCTTAAGTGATATGATTCGCCAAATTTCTGTGAATTGGGAAAAAAAACACGTTGGGTGAAGGAAAAACACACTGTATTTATTATATAAATATTTAAATTATATTACAGCATAAAAATATTTGAACTTAAGCATAGCAAAGTATTACAAAAGCTTAAAAAAGTCATATCAATAAATATTGACAAAAATTATCTATAGATCCAGAAAAGTTGACATTTAAAAAAAAACTATTTGGATTACATGCAATAATAAAACGAGGTTTGGCAAACATCCAACACAGTGAAACGACCATCATGAAATTCCCTTAACTGTTCATTTCCATTTGTTAACATTCGCTAAGGCGACCGACCTGCGTAGATTACAGTTTTAGACTTTATTTTAAACCTCTTGTTTATTAATCACAGTTCGGTACCCAGTTCAAAGGTACAGCAGCGCACCTCGAACTACGTGCGATTTCCGGTCATTTTCGCGTTACGGCTAACCGCTGAATCTGGAGCAGCGTCTCGGGCACGATTCCCTACCCCGCTACGTCAAATGTCGTTTGCCTGCATGACCAGACATGGCGACATTAGTTGGATTTTACTCTTCGGTTTTAAAAATCACATTAATATCTGGACTGTCGTTTACTTCATCACAGTCATCATCAGGACATATATATATATATTTTTGTGGTTTGTGAGCACTTGGAGGTATATATGACAACACGTGTATGCTGATTGCATCTGTTCCCAGCAGCACTGAGGTGTTGCTCACCCCATGAGGTTAGGACAAACTGGGCATGGTGTTTTGAAAGAACACATACCAGCAGAGTTACTGATGTGTACCGTAAGATTGGATTAAAAATTATCTCAAAAACAGTCTAGGTGTCCCAGCACCCAGCCATCACCAGGAGACACAGAACAATCAATTCAATAAAAGCAAGATGAAACTACAGAGTTTATGACAAAGTAATGTCAAACACGTTACTACCTACAGCTTTCTATTCCATATGACAAAATTCAAGGTGTGCTCAACGCCTGAACTAAAAATAGTCCAAATAAAATAATCCAACTCCCATTCTCAATGTGTCATGAACATACAGTGTCAGCGGGTGACTAAAGGACACAGAACATTTGCCAGACGGCGTCACTTGGGGCAGATAGCGACACTGGCATTATGTGAGAATTACTCTCATATCCCTGAATTCATAATGTGCGCTCTGGAGATCTAGTAATGATGTGGTCCTGAGGTTCTATGGACCAACGGGTAACGTTCTGAAACAGAACATTCAGAAAGCTACCCGTAATCTACAATTATTGTCTTGGTTTTTTGTGGAATTGAGTGATTATTATGTGTTGGAATGAGAGAGGAGAATGATGACAAGGATTAAGTAAGAGCCGAGTTCCGAGAAGGTCTCTATGAGGAGATATGCATCAGCAGAGAGTCTTTAGGGCTCCTGATGTACAGAGTAATGTCTCCATTTGGTAAGGTGGTGGTGCCACTGAGGAATCTATCTCTAGGGGCAGCTCTGTTCGGAGATTGAAGGGGCCGCTGCGTTTCTTGAGGATTTGACCGATGCCCATGGAGGGGAATTTGCTCCGGTGCTGTGGGCTCTCTGGGTTGCCCGGCGGACTGCTGGGGGAGTCCGTCGAGGTGCCGCAGTCTGCCTTGGTGGGGGCCTTCTTGGGCTGTGGGGCGACGGCCAGGACAGGAGGGTTGGGGATTGTGGCTTTCTTCAGGTATGAGGTGTCGGTTGTGAAGGCGGAATTCTGCCGGGGCGGTGAGAACGCTCCGCCAGTGAGCTTCAGCACGGCCACCGGAGGCGCCGGCTCGTCACTTTGCCTCCCCGTGGTCGAGTCCCAGGATTGTGTGGCGATGTTGACGGTTGGCGTGTCTAGGCCACCGCCGCTAGGCTCACTTCCCTTTGACTGTTGTGTCTCCAGCCGCCTGACTGGCTGTGGTGTGCGGGGAAACAGTGGCTGAATCGCCAAGTACTCCAAGGAAGACGATGCAACACTCCCTCCAGGACCCAGGTTTGAACTCTTGCCTCCCGTAATAGAACGAAGGAGACCTAATGAAAACAACGAAAAACGTCATTATACTATTTTACAGTAATTACAATATGGTCATCATTTGATAACAAACAATCTCATGACAATATCCACTTGTTGATACCATAAGAATCCTGTACATTTTCCCCTTGTTCTCACAACATTCTATTTTAAGCATAACTTGGGCTATATTTTCTGGTCTGCTGAACTGTGGATTGTGTGTCAGCAGAGAGAAAATTAAAGTTTGTATCTGAGAGCTGTAATTTCATGTACAAAACTGAAGGTATTTCAAACACCATATCATATTACTTGAATGCTTTCAAATCTACTAGGAATAGTACAGCATGTAAAACTCGTGCTTCAAAAGGAAAAAAAAAACATCAAAGACTCTTTGCATGGGTGCTCCAGGCTTATATTTTGAACTTAGAGTTAGTTCCTACTAGATTGACTTGGAGTTACTTATTTGTATAGCCTTTATGATAATATGTGCTAAACAGTGTCTGTATAGTCTGTATAGTCCTTATTCTCATAACTAACT